GGAGAGCCACTGCAGGACAGTGGTCAGAGAGCACTGCTGTCCCCAGAGGTGACCACTCTGTCCACTGGGATCCACCCCCAAGCCCCAGAGCAGAAATGTGCCCGGCAGAATGTTCCTGCCCAAAGAACCCTCTGGTTCACGCACTCTGGCTGTCCCAGAGCCTCCTGTGGGTCAGGGCGGGCTCCCCAGGCTCTCACCGTCCCCATCATCCTTGCCYGGGGAAGATGCTGGTGGGGGTGAGATCCTGGACCCTGGCTAGGCCATGAAATACCAGGAAAAATTCATTTTCTACAGCAATCCTCGAGACAATTGAATTTCCTCTCTTTTATTGAGACAATCAGTGTCATCTGGTCGATCACCCAGGAGATGCTTCTGCTGCAAGATGCTCTGGGYTTTTTGTTGTAGAAGCCCACAGCAGTTCAACTTCTGCAAAGCCTTTGAAGCTCTCAGATCCTGGAATCCCTCCTGATTTAGCTCTGAGTGAGTTCTCCATCCTTGGAGAGTACAAATTCATGGCCAGCCTTGGCCATGGCTGGAAAATTGTTTGGATTTMGCAGAGAAGCTTCAGTGGCTACTGAAGAAAAAAAATTCCTGGCACTGCRGAGTTGGGCTGCAAAAAGGGAAATGGCAGGGAAAGGAGGAAGCTCCCGAGAATGAAGCAGCTGAACAGGATGAAATATTTGCCGAGGGAGTGGAAGTGGGCTGAGGATGCAAACGCAAAGCACTGATGCAAAAAGGCCCAGCAGGATGGAAAATGCCATCAGAGGAAAGAAAATCTGCTGAAAGCATGGAACAGGTCAGGGACATGGCGAGATGAAGGGGAAAAATTAGGATTTTTGGGGAGCAGCTCCCTGGGAATTAAGGGGAAGCAGTGCTGCAGAGCTCCGTGGTGGTGGTGGAGGATAAAATTAATTGTGCTGAGGGGGTGGCAGCATCCCCAGCATCCAGGGCAGGAGTTGGACAGGCCCCAGGGTGCAAAGAACATTTCAAACTGTGACTGAGGTGGCAAAAGCCCTGCCCAAGAGCCAGCACCAAGTCCAGGAGCAGCTGGAAGGAGCTGGGGGTTTCATCCTCCGCCTGCCTGGAGGAGGGAGTGTGACGTGGGGAGGTTATAAAAGTGGGAAAGCATCCAGAGCAGGGAAATTTTCTGGAGATTATCTAACTCACCCCACCTCCTCCTCGCAAAATCCCGCAGCCACAAAGGCAGGGYGTGATTCAGAGCAGGTATCACGTTGCTAATTCCTTCCCCCTGTCCCTTTCCCGGTGGCCTCTGCCACCCGGGCTTATGCAAATAGGAGTGAAAGAAATGCACAACGCATCTCAAAATACATAAATACGTATTTATACATACAGCACGTTTCACAAGATATTTAAAAAGTATCGCTGCYGTTACCAGGATATCTGCAGATACATCCGTAGGAAATTCCCATCTCTGAGTGACAGCCTGAGAAGCACAAAAGAGTCCCTTTTCAGTGGTACTAAACCATGTCAYTAAACCTGAGATCACCTGGGGTCACTTTGTATTGTCCAGGGTAAACATTTGCTCATACTGGAAAAGGATTTTTTTGTCCCTCCCAGCTTTTGTGAACGATTTATCTGCAGGGTAATGAGGGCACTGAGCCTTTCTCTTGCTTTTTTCCTACAAAATCGGGTTTCTTAGAGTGTTCCAGCTGATCCCTCCTCCTCCCACACAGGATCGACGTCGAGCGTGCGTCCGCCGGTTTCACAATAATCCCATTAACTTGCAAGTGGACAAAACCCACAAAGCCGGCCCTGGGCAAGGCTGGGGCAGGAGGCATTTTTTGACTGGGTGRTTGAACCAAAATTTGGGAGGAAAACACGGTTCCGGTCAAAGGGAGGTCAAGGCGAGCAGTTCCTGTTGGTTTCTTTTAACCCTTGCTTATTTTAGCAAAAAGAAAAAAAAGAAGAAAAAAGAAGAAAAAATAAGAAAAAAGAGAAGAAAAAAGAAGAGAAAAAAAGAAGAGAAAAAAAAGAAGAAAAAAGAAGAAAAGAAGAAAAAAAGAAGAAAAAAAGAAGAAAAAAAGTGTTTTTTTGTTTGGCTTTTCTTTTTCAAGTATGAAAGTGTCTTTTTGAAATGAGAAGCTTTGTGTCAGAAAAGTAGGAAGGGGAATAACTGCATCTCCCAAAATTATTATGTTTTTGGGAGTTATTCACAGAAATCACAGAAATCACAGAAATCACAGAAAACACAGAAATCACGGAAATCACAGAATGATTTGGGTAGGAAGGGATCTTAAAGCCCATCCATTGCCACCCCCTGCCATGGGCAGGGACATCTTCCACCATCCCAAGCTGCTCCAATCCCCATCCAACCCAGCCTTGGACACTTAAATCCCCAATTTATCTGTTCCCCCCCAAAATATCTGCACCTTCTGAGCAGCAGAACGGAGCCTTTGTGGTAAATCTTTTGTGGGGCTCACCTGGAGTGATTCATCCTYCTTGGACATCACCAGCTGGATCTATAGCCTTGGGCTGGGAGTTAATTAATGATTAATTAATCACTGCACCACCCCTGGCATGGTTTGGACCCGACTCTTCCAAAGTAGCCCTTTTTTTTTGGGAATGCCCATCTGGATGTGGCYAGCTGGGCATCTTGAGTGTGTCAGGAGGGTACTGGAGGGGCCAACCCTGTCTTGTGGGCTCACATTGGGGTCTCGTGGCCAACATTTCCCCCAGAACAGGCTTTAATCACCCAAACCAAGCATCTGATGGGCCAAAGCAGGGGGGAGGACACCCCAAAACACGAGGTCCCCTCATCAGCCAGCGGCTGAAGRAGGATCCCGGAGGGGTGCAGTGCTCTTCCTCCATCTACGGGCAACCAGGAGGAAGAGCAGCTGCCACAAACCCAAATTTCCATCCAGCTGCACTCTGGGATTGCTTAGAAGAGTTGGAAGAGTTGCCATGATTGGGATAAAATGGGAAATGTTTTTGTGATAAGGAGGATTTCGATGCTTCAGGGGGTTTTTGGAACGTGCTGCCCCACATCACCAGCCAGATCCCGAAATGCAGAGGCGCTTGCAACATCTGGGAAGCATTGCCTGGGAAGGGATGATGGATTTTGAGGAAATGACCTCAGGATGGCTGGGTGAGGGTCAGGACAGTGGGGAATCARTCATGTAATCACCACACGGTACTGGCATCACAGGACACCGCTGCCCACAGCATCCTCACGCCGCTCAGCCCAGGCCCACAACCCCAAAATTGTCCCTTCTGGCACTGTCATTGGCAGATGGAGGGGTTTGGAGCCGGCTGGAGGGGTTTGGGGCTGGCTGGGGGGCAGATGGGCTCGGGAACACGGCCTCGGCGATGTTGACGCTGGTGACGGCGCGGTGCCCGCCCACCCCCTGCCCCCAGCGGGTTATTTTTGTGTTTCAGCCCTGTAAGCWCATCCTGGGAGGATGCCGGGGGTGAGGCAGTGGGTCTGGCAGAGCACGGGGCTGCAGAAACGGTTTAGGGAAAATTGGGGTCCTTCAGACATTCCCAGCTGGGCTGGCTCCGCTCCTTTGCCCGGGAAGGACCGGCAGAGCAGGGATCCTGCAGGCTGCAGTGACAGAGTGACCCCACAGAAGATCCCAACCTGCTTTGCTGTCCCATCCCGAGGCTCCCGAGCTCGTTTGGGACCAGATGGACTCGTTTCCCGGGCTGTGAGGAGCGCGGAACCCGCACCCTGTGTGCAAACAGGCTGTGCTGGCACCCAGGGACGCTCTGTGCCGCTGCCAGGCTGCGAAACGCACCCGGGGCACGGAGCAGGAGCGGGGCACAACCGCATCCGCTTGGGGGACAGGGGCTCCGGCATCCCATCCTCTGGCTGCTCAGCTGAGGAGCTGGGCAGGGAGCTCCAGAGCCCAGAGGAGCGGCTGAGCAGGGACATCCTTCCGAAAGAAAAACGTTCCCAAACGCTGTGAGGGGCACTGAGGTCCTTCCCAAGCGGCATCCACCTCCAGTCCTACAACTCCACCCCTTCCTAAAAGTGTCCAGCCACTTTCCAGCCCACTGGCCCCAGTTAAAGCGGAAAAGGATGGCAGGATGAGCACCAAGCCATCCCACAAGGAAGGGATGGGGCTGGGGCAGCAGCTGAGCCCCTGGAGGATGGAGGAGCTGAGGGTTACCAGGCTCCTTCCCTGCAGCAAAAMCCACAGGTCACAGGATGAAAAAAACACACATGGGAAACCTCAAAGGGGACAGGAAACTTCCCCATTCCCTGGAAAGGGTGAAAATCACAGCCTCGGGTGGCTGTGAGTGCCCCAATCCCAGACCGGGGACACGGACCCCGCTGCTGGCACATCCTCACACCAGCAGAGGACTCTGCAGCGGCAGGTTCAGATCCTCARTCGTTCCTCAATTAAAAACCACCATGACCAGGATCTCCCAGGTGCCTCCCACCGTCTCCCAGTATCCGCACCCCCCCAGGCTGAGATCTCACCTGAAAACCCCTCACCCCTTTCTTTCCGAGCTCAGAGGTGGGAGCTCGGTGGTTTGAGGGCACCCCGAGGCTCCCCCAGGATTTGAGGGGTGGGAACGGGGTTGTGCCTTTCCACGGTGAGCAGCAATAGCAGCACAGAGGGATCTCTCTGCTCTCCCTCCCACCAGCAGCATCCAAAGGGGCTRCAAAACCCACCCAGGCAGGATGGGGTTGATCTGGGGGTGCTGCAAAAGTGGGAGCCCGCAGCACCGAGCTGAGACCTCGCAGCTCATCTCATCGAAGCCAGGAAGGTTTGAGCAGGCTGGGAGGATCTCTGGAGCTGCTGTTCTTGTATAAATTCGGTTTTGGTTTTTTTTGGGGGGGGCAGTACTGAATGCTTTGCTCTGCCCATAGGAGATCAGTGAGGGTTCGAACCCTCCTCCAGTTCCGGAGCATGGAGAGGTGGCATTGTGGGCATCTGGGTGTTTATTTACAACACAGGTGCACAGTCCAGCTGCTCCCCAAAACGCTGGTGCTTAGCCAGGGCTGAAAACTGCAGGTGTTTAAGGAAAAATAATTTCTTCTTTTTTTTTTTTTAATGGTATTTAAAATGTTCAGCCTTTCCTGAGCATTTATTTGTCAGAGCCTGCAAATATTGGTATTGGAGCTGTGGAAGTCTTCAAATAAACCCCTCACAAGGCTGGGAGATCGGTGTGTCGCTTCAGACACCCACTGGTTTGGTTTTTCCATGAGAAACTGCTGCTATTTTGGGGGATTTGCAGTGATACTGTTTTGTGGGGTTTGGGAATGTCCCCTGTGTCAGAATTTTGGTCTGACAGCCAGGTGGCTTTGGGCTGTCACCTCCCCTCACCCAGTGAGAGGGACACTGCCCCGAGCCACCGCAGGCTCTGGCAGGGGGAAMTGGGGGAGGTTTCTCCAGGGTGTAAAACAAATTTTGAGCTGTGGGTGACAACTCCTTTGGCTCATTCTCTCCCATGAAATTCACAGGAGCTCAGCAGTGCAGTGCCTTTTTCCCTATGTCACACTGGCCAAGCAGATCAGAAGGGACTTGGAGGGGCAGACAGGAATGTTCCTTGGCAGATCAAACCCTGAGAAGGAAAACCAGAGCAAAAGTGGAGCTGGGACTTGAAAAAGAAGTGGATGCACTGAGTGTTTGCAGTAACACCGTGGCCCTCGCCTGCYACTGTCCCATGAAGGGTCTGCTTCCTCGAAAGGCACGGGCAGGAAGGAAAAGCTCTCACTGGGATGCTGGGAAGGTCCAGCAGCAGCGTGCATCCCCCCAGCCCACGTGGAGGATTCGTTTCCTTGGCAGGAGCCCATCAGTGCTCTCCACTTTCGCTTCCTGCCCCTGAGCTGAGGGTTCAGAGGTGGTTCATGACCGCTGGGTGGTTTTGTCTGCTCCTTTCTCTGCACGGCCTCTGTGCTCCCCGTCAATGGAGGTTTTTCTTTCTGAATTCTCATTCTTGGGTCAATGGATGTTTTTCTTTCTCAATTCTCATTCTTGGGTTTGTGTGACTCAGAACTGCGCAGAGCCATTGCAGGAATGATTTGGGGATGATGCTGSGAATCCCACAAGTTAAAACTCTTCCCGTGCAAGCCCTCATTCCCCAGGCATCGACCCCAAAACCTGAGCTGGAAATCAAGAGAGGTTTTTCAGAGGGTCCTCTGGGATGGTTCAGTTAACAATTCTGGGCTCACTGCTATTTCTGTGGTTTTAAGCTTTGGAAACTTTGTGTTTTGGCAGCTCTAAGGGCTGCAAAGTTCTTGAGAGGAGAAAGCAGAGCAAAGCTCTCTGCCCTGGTGCAGGGGATTTGCTTTCTCCTTCCAACACTTCCAGGGATGCACAGAACAGTGGGTTTCCGTAAAATTATATTTGCAGACATCATCCAAATCCCTTGAAGTTCCTCTTTGAGCTGCTCAGATTATTGCTGAGCAGACTGCAGGACCTGACCACAGCTGGGAATGAACACCCTCATGGATGTGTGTCCTGAGCCTCATCTCACTGGCCCAGCAAAAGCCAGGCTGGGGACCGAGATAAATYGCAAACCAAACGAAAAATAAATGGAAACCAAACCTATTTTTTTTTTATGGGGAGTGTGGTCAGGCTCAGGAAACCTTCTCCTGGTGCTTGCAGGGGAAGGTGAGGAACCACTGAGAACATGGGGTTTCCAATAGCTTGGTTTGGTGGCTTCGTGGGAGAACCAAACACCAAAAAAGTCTATGKGATGGGAGATAAATTATTTTGAAATTTCATAATTAATTACTTAATCTAACAATTTCTTCCAATCTTCAACATGAGCAGCTTAGGGGAAGCTGCCAGCTCTGTGGAAACACAACCATAGAGGTTGGCTGTTGAGTTTGCCATGCTCCAAGGGGTTTTGGCCCCTGTAAGCTCTGCCATGACCACAGAGCTGCCTCTGCACCTGGGTTTTGCCAGGACTGAAATCTCTGAATTTAGAGTTGAGATCAAATTCACTGAACTAGATGGAGATCAAGATTCCCAGAGGWGTGGACAGCTGTACCTGGAGCTTAAAATATGTCCATGACATTCAGCTTCCACCCCCAGTATCCATCTCTGTGCATATCAGAGGAGGCGGCAGAGAAGTGCTCTTAGTAGAAATAAACTCCTTTACTATCAGAAATCCGAGGTGTTTGCATGTTACAAAAATAAAAACGTACAGTCACTGTCATAAAACTCACSATTTTTTTTCTTTCTAGTATAAGTTAGTGCTTTTACAAACAAAACAAAAAAGTCTAGAGCTGGATTTCCAGCTGGGACCTCTCCAGCTGCTCTGCATYTGGCCAGTGGGATGACCTGGAGTTCAGGAGCACAGAGGGACAGCCCTGATGGCGCTGGCAGCCAGAGGAAGGTGGCATCTCCAAGCAGGACCTCAGGAGGSAACTCTGGGTGAGTTTTTGTTGAATTATTCCGAGCACGTAGCTGTGTCCACACTGCTTTTTGGCAAGGGCAGGACACGGGGCCAGGCCTGGCCTGGAGTGACGTTTGTACCAGCTCAGTGCCAGGCTGAGTTCATTCCTCCCAGTTATTTGTCTCGCCCCAGTGGCTACGCCACGGCCTCACCACAGACCGAGCTGCCTTCACAAGAACAAAGAAATGGAGGTGCTGCCCTGCTGCAGGTCCTGCCTTAACCCAATCYTATCCCAAATGCACTTCAGGGTGCGATGAACACCCCACAAACCCTATTTGTCTTTGCCCAGCTGCCCTCCTTCTCCTCCTGTGGCTGTGACATTGTTGGCTGGGACAAGAGCTCTCCATGGGGTGGGACACAGGAACCTCCCAGTCACCCATGACCGAACACAACCGGGGACATCGCGGTGTGGCKTCGTCTCCACCAAACCACTTCACAAGAAGGAAGGGTGGGAGAAACTAAGGAGTGGTCTGAGGACTTGGTCTAAGCAAACATCAGTTATGTTTGCCTAGCCCTGAAACAGAGCTTTTGCGAAGTATGACCCATCCAGAGCAGCAGCTCTTTTTTCATTTTTTGGGGAGGAATCAGAATCCTCATGACAAGGAAACCACGGGCCTGGGCTCTGGGCTCTCCAACCCAACAGTCACAGACAGRAACACCAAGGGCACCTTCTGGTGAAGTGTTCTGTGGGTATTTTTTTCCAAATCCAGGCAGGATGGGGTTAAGCTCAGCACCACTTACGGCTCCTCAGCCCAGSGTTTAGTGCTGGCAAATTCTGTCACCACTGAGGGACGGCAGTGGGGATGTGGCCAAGGGGATGAACACCAGCCTTTGCTGCTGGGCTGGAAACAGCAGTCACCAGGAAGGGGGCTAAAAACAGGATGTGAAGAGCTCACCTTAAATTTTAATGAGCTGGAGATTATTATTAAAGCCAGCAGCTGGAAGCTGTAGGTTCCTAAAAGCTTTTAAAGGGTGACTGCTGCTGTTGGGAAGCACTAATGGGTTTTTTGGAAGATGCTGRCCTCACTGGACAAACCTGCAGTGGGGACCTGCGTGATGGCACCAGTGCACTCGAGGGAYGAACAGCCATCACCCTGGTTAACGGGAAGGCAGCCCTTGGATCAGGGAATCCCATCCCTTGAAGCAGGGAGAGCGTTTCTGCAGGGCTGCAGAGCTGTAGGAGACCCTGTCCTGCTGTGGGCGATGTTTGTCCTTGACATTTCCACCGAGCWACTCAGCAGAGCTGCAGCTGACTCTGCTCATCCACCCAGAGCCTTTCCTGCCTCTCCAGGGCACAGAGAAACTCCAGTTCCTCCCGTGCCAGGCTGGCTGCAGACGGAATACTTTCTGGGGACCTTTTGCACRCGGTGTTTTTGCGTTGGAAAACGATTCAAGGCGTTCAGGGCATGATTTTTGTTTTTCCAGCAGATCCTCAGCACTGAGCAGAGGGGCAGGCTGGGGTGCAGAGCCAGAGACCAGGGCTCRTGTGTGCAACCACAGCTGCATCTTCCTGAGAAAGACACAGAGCACGCTGGACTGGGTGTGAGCCCGAACACCCTCAGGCCCCAGAAYATCCTGAGCTCCCCCCACAGTGGGCACAGACCCTCCTGCTGCAGCAGAGCTAGCATTTCAGACCCTTGGAGAGCGTGTCYGTGTCGCTGCTGGTCCCCAGGTGGCTGTTGGGAACGATGCCCAGGGCTACCTCGTTCTGAGGCTTCCCCAGCATTTTGTTGCCCGTGAACTTCATGAATCGTTGCCCTGCCAGGAAGTACAGAACGGGATCCAAGCAGCTATTGGTGCTGGCGAGGGGGCGAGTCACCTTGTAGGCCAAATTGATGGCGTTGAGGGTCCGGCAGCTCAGGTCCCAGCTGCGGAAGGAGTAGTATAAGGTGCGAGTGACGTGGAAGGGGAGGAAACAAACGATGAAGACCACCAGGACGATGATGATCATCTTGACCGACTTCTTCTTGGAGCGGGACAGGCGGGAGATGCCGCGGGTGGGCTGCAGCAGCCGCCGGGCCATCAGGCAGTAGCAGACGATGATGATGAGGAAGGGGATGCAGAAGAGCAGCACCAGCATCACCGAGCTGTAAATGACAAACTGGCCGAAGAGCTCCTTGCTGGAYGTGTCGTGGCAGGTGACAGTGTCGCCCTTGACGCTGGTGGTGACGAAGAAGAGCACGGGCGACTGGCACGCCACCGTCACCGCCCAGACGGCGAGTGACACGCGGCGGGCGTGGCGCACGTGGCCCCACTGCAGCGACTTGAGCGGGAAGCAGATGCCCAGGAAGCGATGCACGCTGATGCAGAGCAGGAAGAGGATGCTGCAGTAGAGGTTGGTGTAGAACAGGAAGCGGACGATCTTGCACAGCCCCGTGCTGAAGGGCCAGTTGTCCCCCATGGCGTAGTAGTAGACCAGCAGGGGCAGTGACACCACGTAGAGYGTGTCCGATATGGCCAGGTTGAACATGTAGGTGGTGGAGGCGTTCCAGGTCTTGATCCTGAAGATGAAGCCATAGAGGGCCAGCAGGTTGAGGAACAGCCCCAGTATGCACACGATGCCGTAGGACACGGGCAGCAGCACGTAYTTGAAGTCCTCGTCGAAGACGCACTTGTAGGGGTTATCATCGGTGCCACCCGGCTCCGAGGAGCTGTTGAGGACTCTGGTCCAGGCTGGAGGAGTCGTGAGGTTCTCCATCACCCTGGAGAGGAGCAAAGAGGCTGTGAGCACGTGGAGACAGCAGCTCCAGAGGGCAGCACATCACCCACTGCACCGTCATGGTGTCGGTGACACAACTGAGGCAGTCCTGGCACAGAGGAATCATGGTCAGGCAGATGAAGGGAGTTTATTTAACCTCACTTCGTGCCTGGGGCACAGAGGAGGGGCTGAGCTGCTCTAAAGCCACCAACAAACCCCAGGCSACATGTGGGAGCTCACCTCAGATCTCCTGCCAGCCTGGTTCAATGTCCCAAACCACCCTGCCCACAGGTTCCCACCAAAATTCAGCTCCTGCATCGCTGACGCTCCATTCTGTGTTTAACCAGCTACGAGAGGTGACTCAGCTGAGCACCATGAAAATTGAGTCCTGCTAAACCCCAGGCAGAAAGGACCAGAAAACGGAATTTCAGAGAGCAATCCTCATGACCGGCCCCGTTTCAAAGATCCTCAGCTCCTTCTGGTGGAACAAACCTCACCCTATCTGGATGCCCTGATAATGATGATGGGTTTTTAATGAGTTTAGTGTGGGGCTGATGGTGGCCAGGTCACAGCTCCCTGGCCTTGAGCCCTGCCTGTGCAAAGCTGGTTTCTGCACGGGACCAATGAGCTGGGAGGGGAAAAAGGGGCTGCAAAGGGTCTCTGCGGACACACAGAGCCTGGCCTGTCTGTCGAGGGACAAGGGCCCTTTTGTGCCCTGGGCCTGGCTGACACACRATCTCTGAGTGACTCCATGGGACAGGAATCAAATTAAAATGCTTTTTCCTCCCTCCCTGTAAGAGGAGCCGGTTTGGTGTCCCTGCTGTTCCCGGCCTTACGGGAAGCCTGTGGAAATGGGGGGTTCCAGGAACCCAGCACAGGCACTCAGGGGAAAGGGCTGAGCAAAAGTGCCCTTGGGATGAGCATGTGGGAGGGGCCCTGACCCAAATCTCACTGGGATTTAGGTGGGAAAGAGCAATCCCAGCCTTCTCAGGTGCAGGGCTCAGCCCTGACCCGGTGCCACCACGCTGAGGGACAGGGTGGCCRTCCCTTCCTGGCAAAACCAGCACTGTTTCCATGCAGATCTATCCTGCCCCAACCTCCAGCTCGGATCCTGCAGGGAAGGAGGCRATGACAGCCCCAGGAGCTGCCAGCCTGGGTGATCTCTCACCAAAGTAAAGCATTTTGGTATTTAAGAACTGTTTGGTATTTGACAGCTCACTGCTGATGCTTCCAGTCCAGCACAAGGGGGTAACTCCAGTCCTTGGAGGGTCCCACAGCCTGTCCAGGTGTGCCCTGACATGACCCCACCTCGCTGCCTTTCCCCTCGAGCAGAGCACAAACAGGGCTGGCTGAGGCTCACACCTCCCAAGATCTGCAGTGAAAACCACACACGCTCTCACTCCAGCCAGTCTGCAACATCTGCAAAATCCCCAGGATAACTCAGGGAACCAAAGTGATGAAAATCAGGAGCCAGCACCCATCTTGTCTGCCCTGGCCTCGGGGTTTTGCTTTTCCTGCTCTCAGTCCAGCTTTGCCCCAGTGCTGCTTCCCTCAAGCCCTCAGMGGTGTGGCTAGGATGGAGAGGGTTAACAGAGCTCAGGCAGAGGGGGAAAAATGTTCCAGCTGCTGTTCTCCGCAGTTTCTTCCTTCCCTCTGAGCTTTGTAGATCTGTGGCCAGCCAGAGAAGGTTGTTCGCAGAGCTGGCAGGYGATGAAACGGGTTGGGCAGGCCACCGTGGCCGAGGGAAGCCACACAAGATGCCCTAAAAGGCACAGGGAGGGGTTACAGAGTTCCTGAGGCTGCAGCCTGCCATGGGATTTCTCTGTCTAAGTTCCCTCTGAGCCCTGCAGACAGCCAGCACTGATGGGGGGAGAYCACCCTGAATTACAGCCCCTCTCCCCACAGGCTCCTGAGATCCCAGCAAGAAAAGCAAGAAAGGGTTTGAAACCCACCCCTAAGCCAAGGTGGAGAATCTCCTCTGGCCGCCCCAGGGACGTGGCACGTTCCTCATCTCCATCCTCAGGACAAGGAGCAAACAGGGTTTGGTTTGAATGGAGCCTTGTCCCTCTGTTGTGTCCTCCCTCCTTCCCCTTGTGGGAATGCAGAAGCCTTTCTTTTCCCTTTTTCCCCTAGTTTTGCCCAGAATCCATAGGACAAACCCTGCTGTGTGTGCCATGCCCGTGGCTGCAGTCCACCCCCTCACTCGGGCAGTGAGCTGGAGAGGTCAGGGCCAGCCAAAGGACAAGGACTGGCACTGCCCTTCACTGTGCCCACGGGTGGCATTGTTTATCCCATGGGACACAGGAGTTTTTCCCAAAAACGTCAGTGGCAGTGGATGAAGGCAGCGCAGGAGAGGAGCCTGCTTCTGAGGGGAGYCTGGGCACATCCGTGCCCTCAAATAAAGGTCCCCAGAGGCACGTGCACGTGATGCCAGCATCCCAAAATGTTCCTGTAACCGTACCAGCCAGGGATATTCGGATCACTCAGTACGGGAAAGGCGGGGGCTGTCACGGGAGAAGGTCAAGGGCAGCTGAGGGATGGGCAGCACTCCATGGGGAGAGTACAGGATGGGCAKTGACTGCCAAGTAAAGGCCTTGACTCTGGATTTCTGCTCCATTTTTCAGCATTCCCAGTACCATCCCAGCCGTGTTTCGCACTCAGGAATTTGCCAGCAGCAGCAAAGCTGCTGAAGACARCAAAGCACAACCAAACCATGGCTGCGATGAATACGTTTTCACAGGGGGTTGATGAGGCTTAATTGGCCTTCCCAAATAATTCACGTGGATTAATTTACCGGCAGGACCTYACAGAGGCAGCCCTCGTTCCGCCACGACTCCCATTGTTTCACACCAGAGGCTGAAACCACGATCCCTTTGCAGAGTCTCCTCCCTGCCTCCTTTCCAGTGGAGAACGTGGGTGTTTTCCCTGCCCTAATTCAAAGGCATTCCGCGGACTCATCAAAATCCTCGCCCTGCATCGGGAGCTACTCCACACTCCGGGAAGCAAACGACCTGGAATGGTTTTTCACTGCTCTGGGGCTGTGGGTGGAACCCTCCATGGCCCAAAGCGAACCGGGGGTGCATTGGGATGATCCTGAGCCGCTCTGCTGGAGCCATGAGATGGGGTCCAGCTGCGATCTGAGCCTATCCAAACTGCCCRGTGTCCATCTGCCCTTTCCCTTCAGCTCCTGGCTGCCACAGTGACCTTCAGAGCCTCTCTCCTCTGGGCTGGCCCTGGCCACCAGTGTGGACTCAGGACATCCCCAGCTGTCCCAGCCCCACCATCCCCAGYGCTTCTCTCCAGGGATCCCACGGCAAGACAGCTCCAAGATTCATTCTCAAGACACCCGAGCAGCTCAAGGGGCTGTATCCATCGCCCTGCCAGGCAACATCTCTCCTTCATCCCTGATCTAACCCTTCCTCCAGCCCCAAAATAGCCAGAACCCCTCACTTAACCCAAAACCTTGCAAAGAATCRGTGTTTCTGTCCCTTACAAAAAAGCACCTTTGGGGGGCAGCCCCACTCCAGAAATGGAGCCGCTCCACTGAAGCAGCCACRGGCCTCAGTTTCCCCTCCTGTTGCCAGGCTGAGAAACAGCAGAGTTGAATTTGTTTTCTCCATGTGAAATATTTTTCTGGGGGTGTTTTGATTTCCTAGAGGGTTTTGCAGGAACTTGATCCAAGCTAAAACAGGGAGAGGGAGTCTGGATAAAAGATATAACCAAAGAACTTTATGACTGCTCTTTATGYGTTTGTAGGTCAAATAAAATGTTTTGCTTTGAAACAAATTACTCCTTCTGGGAATTTCTGGTTTTCCCCCAGAAACTCCCTGAATTCCTTCCTGAATCCATCCCCCTTCCAGTCTTTGCTTCCCAGGGGGTGCCAAAACCTTCTGCCTTGCTCCACACCATGGGAAATCAATTGGGATTAACCAAATTGGTGGCTTTAAAGTGAATTAAATAAAAGCATTAAAACCATCGGTGACAATGGTAACTAAGGATACCTTCGTTCTGAACCTGACTCAACTCCCAGCATGGCAGGACCCTGGGGATGGATCCTTCTGGAAGCAAACACCAACCCTGGCCAATATTTAAATCTTCAGCAACACTTTCCTTCCTGCTTCAATAAAGTTGATGCTTCTGCACTGTTTTCTCCCGCAGCATCCCATGGGATTGGGATGGATCCTATGTGAGGCCTCAAACTTTGAGTTTTACCTTTTCCATGGGGAAAACAGGGCTCTGCCACCCTTTAGGCTTCCTGGAGATAGAAAGGTGGTGTTTCTWTCAGGAGTTTGGCTTTGGTTTTGCCCTCCGTGACCTTTTGGTTCTGGAGGAAGTTAACAGTCAGACTGGGAGAAGACAGTGGGATCAGTTTCTGGCCAATCCCCGCCTTTTTGCTAACCTTACAAACTCCATATCTKGGACAAATGACATTTCTATGGAGACCTCCCAACATTCTGCCCACACCCAGGGAGTCACCCACCACCCTGGCAAAACCAAAGGCACTCTGGGACACAACCAGGACAACACAATTACCATGGCACYCCCAGAAAACCCCAACAGGGTGGACTTTGGGGGATAATCTGCTCCACWAGGAGCATCCTGTGCAGGCAAGAGGGTCTTTGCTTTGTGGGTGGTCCCTGTCCAGGTTTTAGTGGGGGCTGCTCAGAGTTAAGGAGGGAGCCCGGCATGGCCGGCAGCACGCTCCGCTGCCAGAGAACTATTCATGGCTTTGGCTTCATGTCAACAGCCCGAGATAAAAATCGCACTGGGCAGAGACAGAATAAAGTCACTCAATGCCATGACAGTCAGAAATCCTTCTGGGGGTTGTATAACCCACTGAGCCCTGGGAAGCAGCCATGCTTTGGGGCTCAGCACAATTTGGGGTCTCTCCCTTTGCCCTGGAGCCCCTTAACCCACCAGGCACCCTTYGCTTGAGGGCAAACCCGAGGAATTTGGTGGCAACAAAATGGCCCAATTTTGGCAGCAGTGACCACGAGCCATGGCCACCATCCCCCAGTGCTGGTGGCCCTCCAGGGCAGGTTTTGCTGCTCCTCACCTCATGCACAGGAAGGCAGTGAGTTGCCAAATGGCTTTTGTAATCAACTGATAAGAGAACTGGAACATAAAAAAAGATGTTTGGCCCCTAAAGTTTTTTTCTTGCAGTGATGTCAGGCAGTGCCCAGCTCYGGGGAAAAAGGGAATTTTAGGGGTTAGGAGCTGCTGGAAGGAGTCAAAGGGTTTGAAAGCAGTCTCACCCAGTGCAGTGTAAATTGAAACACTCCCAAAGAAATTACATAGGGAGCTCAGCATGCTAAGAGGTGTAAAAACACAGGGAGCAAAGCAGGGAGTCAGCTGCACGGCTTTAACCAGAGGCGTGTACGGGAAATAAACAGCCAGCGAATTCCCAGGGGAAGGGAGAAACTGAGCGGCAAAGATATTATTGCGAATTAATGCACACAAAATCTAATAATTCAGGCAAAGAGGAGCAAAAGGAGCAGGATGCTTCCCTGAGTGCCCAGTTTGAACTATTTGTGACAGCGCCAGCTCACGCCAGCGAATCCCTGCTGGCTGCTGGTCCCACCAGGGGCACTTTGGGGYTTTTGGGACAGTTTTGGCAGTACGGGCAGTAGGTGGGGTCGAGAGGAGAGGAGGAGAGTCGGGGTTCAGCTCTGCCCGTGCAATGCCCCACTCCCTGCTTTGGGTGCACAGGGAACCTCTGTCACCCGTGTCACTCAGCCAGCAACAAGTGCCACCCCGCGTGTGCGTGTGTGCACAGGGATAAGCGTGCCTGTCCCCACCCGTGTGTCTCCGTGTCCCACCCATGTGTGTGCGTCTGTGTCCCACCCGCGTGTCCCATTCGTGTGTGTGTGTCCGCTATTCACGTATGTGTGCGTCCCATTCGTGTGTCCCCTATTTATGTGTGTGTCCCCGTTCAGGTGTGTCCGTGTCCCACCCGCGTGTCCCACTCGAGTGTGTGTCCCCCATCCATGCGTGTCCGTGTCTCCTTCCCCCTGTGCGCGTCGCGTCCCCTCCATGTGCGCGTCCCCCAGCCCGTGCACCCACTCCCACCCCACGCACGAGTTTCCCAATCGACACCGGAGATCGCCCCCCTGTCCCTCCCTTCAYGGGCAGGACACGCACCCCGACATCCACCCCTGGACCCTCCATGGTCCCTCCATGGTCCCCCCATGGTTCCCCCGGCCGCGCTCACCGAGGATGCCGAGCCGGGGGCTCGGTGCCGGGGCTCGGTGCCAGGGGTTCAGCGCCGCTGGCCCCGCTCAGGAGGGCGGCGGGGGACGCTCCATGCCCGCCTTTGGTCCTTCCCCGTCCCGGTGCCGCCGCCGCTCCCGGTGCCRCCGCCGCGTGTGAGCAGGGACGGGCCGGGCTGGGGCCGCACCGCCCTCCCGGCGCTGGCAGCGGGGCTGAACGGGGCAGGACCGGGGCCAGAACCGCCCCGCCGGGGCTGGGACCGCCCCTCACCCTGGGACGGGACGGGACGGGACGGGAGTTCTCCTCTCGGGATGGGGACGTGGGTGGGATCAGCGCTGGGACCGGGACAGGAGTGCGACCACCCTTTCCCTTGCCCCCGGCGGGGTGGGACAATGGGTGGGATCGGGATTAGGGCTGGAGCAGGATCCCCCGCTCCCTTCCCCGGAGATCGGAGCGTGGGTAGAATCGGGGCTGGGACCGGGACCGGACACCGCGTGCTCTCCTCTGTCTCTCCCGGGAATGGGACCGGGTAGGAGCCAAGACAGGARCCCTATACCCTCCAGACGTGGGGAGTGGGTGGTACCAGAACTGGGACCGACACTGTAGAGAGGTGATCATCCCCAAATCCTTCCCTGGGAATGGGACCGCGGATGGGGCCGGAGTCAGGTCTAGGACACTCCTACCTTTCTCCCCCATGGATGGGATTAGAGCTGGGACTGAGACTGGATTCAATGGGGCTGATGCTAGGACTGGGATGTTGGGATTCGCATCATCACTGGAACCAGGAGGACACGGCAGAAAGTTTGTTCAAGGTTTGCTCCTTGCTGTGCCTTCTTTGATCTGCTGTCCCCACAGAGTCCTGGCACAGCACAGCGTCCCAGGGGGCTGCAGGACACTGTGGAAGGCCACCACCACCATCTTCCCAGGCTGCCCTCTCCTGCCGGTGGCTACTGCCCAAGGGAAGCAGTGGCCAGGCTCAGTGACCTCCCAGTGGGGCTAAGTCATCTGGGTGAAAATCCTTCAGCTTTGTGGGGTCTGGACAGTTCCTGGTTGGGGTGAGGCCGGGAAAAAGCCCCACTGAACCATGTGCAGGGGCCCAGTTGTTTTCCAGCACTGCGAGTGCGGAGCGAGCCCCAGCGCTCCCCTGAGCTTTCCCCATCTGTGTCCCTGGKTGAAAGCCAGATCCTCCTTCTCCAGCTGGATCTGATTTCAGCTGGGGGTCCTTGGGCCCCTGGACATGGCCAGGAGTGACCATGGAGCCCCTGCTGGAGGAGGGAAGGAYGCTGATGGCATCTATTATTCAACAGCAGGAAGTGGCAGCTGGCTCAGGAGGCATTAGGAGGAGATGAAYTCCTGGCATGGGAACAGAGCTGCCGAGATCTTGCTCACGGACCTCCGCCAGAAAAGAATGAAAAAAAAAATTCCTGTTTCCTTCTTGTGATGTAATTTGTTTGAGGAGGGAAAGCAATACATCACATCACAGCTATTTGGGGCTGATAAGGGAGAAAGAACAGGCTTGCTGCTTGCACAAAGGGAAGGAGATGCCTGGGCCAAGCTGTGAGTGAGGCTCAGATTGGTGACAATGCCCAGCGGTGTCCTGGGTGCCAACTTCTGCCCATCTCTCCTGGATTTGGAAATGCTTCTTGGGCAAAGGTTGGGACCACAGAACCTTGGTTTCATTCTCCAAACGCTTCACCCTGTCACATGAATGGACATGTGGATGATGTCCAGGGAGTTGTTGCTGTCCCTACGTGAGCTGTGACCTGTGGGGTGATCACTGCGGCTCCGCAGCCCTTGCCTGGCGCCATCTCCCCAGCAGGGTCCTCCAAGGTYTGAACACCCGCAGCTCTTCCTCCACAAGATAAACCCAAACAACTCAAAAACAAGAAGCAGGMTCCTTCCTCATCTCCAGGGGTGATTAATTACAACCAGGCTGGCTGAGAGGGCTGCTTGGCGGCTCGGTGCTGGATGCTTCAGCAGGCAAGAAGGAGATGTTTTTCTAAAAGCTTCTTTGGAGCAAGAAGTGGTCCCCTGGAGAGTCCTCTTCCCATCAGACCTTTTCCGGGCCTGCTTGAAGTACCAGCAGCTTCCAGCAAGCAGGAGCYTCCTGGCTTCACTGCCTGCTGCAGGGAAAAACCTTTCCTTTTCCTTCTTTTGCTTTTTCTCACTTTTCTCCATTTGTTTGGGCATGAAGGAGATGGAAGGAGGGTGTCAACCTGAACCCACCCTACTCATTTCTATCCTTCACACAGGTCACTTTTTACTCAGGAGACCCAAAACAAGAACCTGACTCACCCCAAACCTCCATTTCCCAGCTCCAGAGCAGTCCAAACAAGCCAGAGGAAGAAGCAGAAGTTTTAAATCCCGTTGAAAAGCAAATGATTTGTGCAGCTGTAGTGCTGAGGATGGATGCAATACCCAGGGAGCCGACCTGGAAAGCAGCCCCACATTTCCCCTCACGGCTTCATTTTTCAACCGTTTTGGCAGCCAGGCAGGTTTCTAAGACGCTTTCAAAACATTTCCATGTTGACTAGCGGGCAGGAATGTGATACAGGAATGGGCGGATCGGAAAGGTCAGGGTGGCCACGGCAGAGCCCTGCGCTGCGCCCATGGGTGCAGCTCACAGGAGACACCAGCAGAAGGGCTGGAGACAAACTGGGATAGAGCAAATATCTTTTTCTTGGTTTTTTTTTTTTTTTTTTAAAGCCTTAGGGGCAGTAAGGAGGAGAGTTTGGGTGTGTTGGGCTGAGCCTGGTCCTGGCTGGTGGGAAAGGAGAGAGTGAATGCTCCCCTAAATCTATGCAAGGGCAAACTGATGCCCTGATCCCACCTCGATACTTCTCGTGGTCTCTTGGTTGGAAAGGTGTTCAGTCACCTGTCTGGGATTCAGAAACTTGCCCTATGTGACTGGGCATGCAGGAGGGACATCCCAGGGGAGCAGATAGGATTTTGTAGCTTCCCACGAGAGCTGCATTTTCCCTCCAGGATGTTCTTATTCAGCAGCTTTTAAGGGGCAGCAAAAGCCAGTCCCATTGGAGAATGAAGCCTCTGTTCATGTGCCACTGGGGTGTGTAGGAGATGAGCTCAGGTGGGGCAGGAGAGGGACATGGCAGCCCCTTCCCAGCAGCCAAAATCAGGTGGATGGGTTTGAGGTGGGAATTGGTGCTGGAAAAGCGTAGAGTCCTGGAATTAATAGGGTTGGGAAAGTCCTGTGAGGTCATGGAGTCCAGCTGTTAACCCAGCACTGCYGTGTTCACCACCAAACCATGTCCCCAAATCCAAACATTTCTTCAACAGTTCCGGGGGCTGTGACTCCACCACTGCCTTGGGCAGCCTGTCCCAATGCCTGACCACCCTTTCAGTGAAGAAACTWTCCCAGATATCCAATCTAAACCTCTTCTGGAGTAACTTGAGGCCATTTCCTCTTGTCTGTACCTCTGTCCATCCCTCATCCTCGTGTGCCCTGGAGGAATCTCCTCCTGCCACCTCTGCAGCACCCAGGAGGTGGTGATGGGTGGATGCTGAGCACCCAGAGACTCTTTCCACCCTTTTGCACCCTTTCCCCACTGATCCCTGTAACAGGAACCGACACATGTGTGCAGACAGGGCACAGGGGACATTTACTGTTTGGGACTGGTGTCCTTTGGGGAAGAGGGAGTTGGAGCAGACCCGATGCACATGACATTCTCTGGAGCAAGCAGCGAGCCTTGAGCACATTGCTTCAGCASAGGGAAGGCTTTGCTCTGTGGCTGTGGCCATCTGGGTGTGGATTTTCTGTTCTCCACCAGCGGCTGGGTTTTTTTTTTTTTTAGCCCAGCTTTCGTTTCCTCCCCACTGAATGCATGTGATGTCCTTCCCCTCCTCCTCCTCCTCCCCATCAGGAGAGTGATGGGGGTGCCACTCACTTTTCCTCTGAGCTCCTACACAACCCAGGTTTTTGGGCAGTGTTTCAGGCTCCAAGTGCATTTTAYCCCCTCAGGATGGTGCCTGCAAAAAGGGATAGGGAGGGGCTGCCACAACCTCCCAGGTGGCAGGAGCTGCCCTGAAACACAAGCATCCTGTTGTGACCGAAAATGTTGCTTCTAGAAAGACCATAAATAAACACCTCACACCAGGGCAGGTGGGTTAAAATTAACCCACRGGCTTGGGTTACGTGTGCTGCGGGCTCCCAGATATGGTTCTGCTCTGCAGCCTGTGCAGGGAGGGAGGGGTGTCACAAAAACCCCACAAAACTCCATGGGGTCAGCTCTGGCAGGGTCACCTCTGCTGCTGCTGACCCCACTGATGGCTTTCCTACAAGCAGAGATGCTGAGTTTTCTGCCAAATTTCACGACACTTCCTCTTCCTCTGGGACTGACTAGAAAATAGTAAATAAGACAGATTTAAAAACAAAACAAAACAAAACAAAACAAAACAAACAGATTCAAGGTCTTATTCAAGAAGGTTTGAGTGAGTTGAAACAGCAGGACCTGCTGGAGGACAGAACTCGCTGCTGGAGGAGGTTTTGCATTGATTCTGGTATTCAAACACAGGTAGACACATCCTCAAACCAAGTCTTCCCAAAACCAACAGCAGCAACCCATCCACTTTATAGTCCAGGCCTAAAATAGTGCTGGGGAGAGGCTCTCCTGGAAAAGGCTCCTTTCTCCTCATTTCTCTGTTTGCAGAGCTGTTGGGAAGCTGGGCAGGAGTGGGCCCAAGCATCTTGGATCCCTGGCAGCAGAGTRGTGGGACACAGTGAGCATGGGCAGCTGGACTGTGGGGTCCAATCACCCCCAGATTGTGTGGGGTTACTGCTTGGCTGAGCCCCAGCAGCTCAGCCTGAGGGTGGGAACACCTCAGCCTGGCACCATGAGGGATTCAGCTCCACTGGGATGGGTTCAAGGGATGGAGTGGCAGGGCCCCCAGGTATGCCATGTCTCCCATTTTTTATCTGATCCTCGTCAAATCCACAGCAGAGAAGAGYCCCAGAGAGGCTCAGGTGCAGGTTCCCATTGGTGCTGGGGAAAAAGTCATTTTCCAGTAGTTTTGTGGGCCATTATTCTTGCTCTCAGCTCCCAGTAGTGAGACCATGGAGACCAGCACAGGGTCCCACCCTGGAATCTCTTTGTTTCAAAAAAAAATTATTTRTTCTCACTACGGGACTTTTGAGATCACTTCCTTCCCCTTCTGCTCCAAAACAACACTTGTGTCCTCA